CGACTGTCATAAATGTAAAAGCCGCAATTTGTCGATGTGTTCAACGTTAAATTGAAACTACCAAACAAAACACATTAAACATCGATGACACCCAAGCGAAGGCAATATTACTACACTACGTGACGTATGCTATTACAAATAATGAGCCTTTCGTGTTACTCTGCTTACAAATATACCTCTATTATATATTATAATCTGACATATTCCACATAGTTTTCCATGTATTTTTGTTCATTTTTTTCCCCGACTAAAAGCAACGGTATTCTGTACGTGTCTTATTTTTTGACTGAATTTCGTTATATGTTTATTTCATGCGTTGCTTCTTCATTGATGTGTGTCCTGTGTGTTGGTTGGATGGGTCGTGTGTGCTGCCTGTTTTCGTTTCTCTTCGCTTTGTTGGAAATCCAGTTGTTAATCAGCATTATGGTGCTGATATTTTAATGGAATACGTAATTAAGGGGAATTCGGCTGTATTGAAATGTTCCATACCATCATTTGTGGCCGATTTTGTTCGAGTTGAAGCTTGGATTGACGAAGAAGGCACCGAATTACTACCAAGCGACAACTATGGTTAGAATCTCGATAGTCGAGCGACTTCACCCACATTTTGTTTTGTTTCTCTGTTTCACTCCTAATAAATAAATCTAGCGAGAAAACATTGAAGGCAAATTAAATTGTTTCCAATTCCATTTCGTGATCCAAGCTATAAAATACCATATCCAGAACACCCGGTTTTTTTTTGTCGACAATTTCATTTCTAAAAACGCAATGGCATTTCTTTGCCCTTTGATTCTTTTTTTGGCTAGAGAAAGAAAATGATTTGAGAAGAGAGCATAGAAATGGACAAAAGTAACGATTGCATTACATTGCAGTGGAATATCGATCGAAAGGACAATATTATTTTTCGAATTTCCGCTTCAACAAAACTCATTTAAAAATCAATCTTCTCGTTATCTATCCCGTATTCCGTAGCTCTCGTAGCTCTTCTCTTTTGACAGAGCAAAGCAATAACTTTTAACCTAATTTCATCCGATTCGATTCTCTATCTCTTTTTTTTTCGAACCTTTTTTTTCCATTTCTGGTACACGTTTGTATTACAATTTTTTCTTCCAGTTGTGAATCAATTTTACGATGCCGAAATAATCAAAGAGTATGTAATTCGTGGTAATGCAGCCGTTTTGAAATGTTCAATTCCATCGTTTGTGGCTGATTTTGTGTATGTTGAATCGTGGATCGATGAAGAGGGAACCGTCTATAAACATTCCGATAGTTATGGTGTGTAAATGCGTTGCACACATTCACACAATAAATTTCACTTCAAAATTCGTATGAAAGAAAACACTGAATGTGCTTTGATTCTTTTTCTCAATCTCTCTCTCCTCCCCACCTCCTAACCAGCGAGTCATTACACAACAAATCCGAAAAGTGATTTAAGCCGAAAACTATTTCTTTGCGCTCGAACACCAATCGGACTCGTCACAATTTCGTGTGTACGAAATGTCATCATCATTCTTAAGTGAAATGAGCACAGTTTTGGAACTGAAGAAATAACAAGTTATGTTGCCGAGTTCTATTCTTCATGGTTATTCTAGCAGAAAATCAGTTCTGAAACCAACTACGTCTGCTTGCAGTGCACAAGTCATATTGGCACATGGAGTCTCCTTTATGTAAGAAAGAGAGAAAAGAAAAACAATAATTTTTCGTTCATAACTCATGCTTTATCAAATAAACTCTAACTACTATACAAAAGCTGATTTGCCATGGAAAATAGGCATGATACAATCAGATACAGCACAAAGTTTTTCGTTGTATTCGACTGAGAGAGTGAGAGCCAAAGGAAAATGAAGAAAAGAACGTATAGTCAAGTGGAAAATGACGACGACGACGACAACAACAACTAAAAGCATCTAAAAATAACTGACACAATGCACGTCGTGAGTGCAGCAGCACAGAGAATGGAAAAGTGAATGACACCGAAATGGTATCTATAATACATACGCGCGCATACATATTATTAGCGATTTTTACTTTCTTTCATCGTCGTCGTAGTCGTCGTCGTCGTCGTTGTTGTCGTCATACAGGCTCGTTGCTACCGTGTGCTCCTCTCATTTTCATGGAATGGGAATCGCTCGGCTCAGATGTGCCGTCGTGTATGTGTCGAGCCGAGGCTGAGTGTAAGAGCAAAGTGAGCGAACGAGCGTGTGGCCTTTTTCAAAAAATGTAAATACGGAAAATGTTTTCGAGCTGACTTTTCTTCGAATATATATGTTTAATGCGATCCCCTGTATCACACACACACACATAGCATTGTGTGACTCTCTCGCGTGCGCCAGTGAGAAAACGCTTGCTGATCTATTTTGAATAATAATAATTGATGCATTCTTGGTAAATATATACCGCATCTTTGTGTGCTTCGCTCGATTCGATTTCTTGTTTTGTGGGGGCCGTGTGGTGCATATGCATGCACTTTGTCACGATTCACCACAACAATGCACATATATGGGTTTGTTTTCATTGATGTGTTAAAATGCGCGTGTGAGAGGATTGATGATCAAAACACATTCGCTTACTCGACGAAGAAGAAAAAAAAAAACAAAAACAGGAAACCACATTTGTGCGCGCTTTTGGAATGGTTACACCTCAGCAAAGCAATCGCCACACATTTCTGTGACACTTGTGTTTTTATTCTTTCCAATTCTTTGAGCGCGCCATACCTATTCTAAACGCTCTGTTTTTCTATTTTCTTTTGTTACTGCTGCTATTTATCTATGATATGTATTTCTTTTTCCCTCTTCTTCTTTATTTGCTTGCACTTTTTTTTCGCGTGCGTGTGCTGTCGCGCTCACGCTCATCCATGTCTGCCATACTTTAAAAAAAAAATATAAAAAACAACCCAACTCGATAGTGGTGACCCAGTTTTACATGACCGAAGCTGAGAATGAGTACGTTATTAAGGGAAATGCGGCGGTTATGAAATGCAAAATTCCATCTTTTGTTGCCGATTTTGTTTATGTTGAAGCATGGATTAACACTGAAGACGGCACCGTGCTAACGCCTTCAAACGATTCATCTACATATGGTTATTTTCAATTCGCTATCTTGTTTTGCATCACCTTCTCTATCTCTCTTTGTGTGGATGTGTTACACGAAAAAAAAAGCATCACCATGTTGTTTATTATTATCATCAATTCAAGAAGACGACTCGCTATCATGATTCGACACTTATTTTGTGCCTTTGTTTTTAATTTCATTTTCTCCGTGTGTATTTTTTCTTCTCACATAATGAGGTGCTTTTTTTCGCTGCCATGAAACGCAAAACACATTTTTACGTCATAAATTGAAACGGATTTCCATGGCTTCGTTCATATTCATCTTCCCTATACATATATCCCACACCCGCACTTGACTACTTCTGTTTTCTTTTCCCTTCTTCTTCTTCTTCTTCTTCTTGTTTGAGCCGTGTGCAGTTTTCTGTGCACGATGCGATTTTCTAATTAAAATTATCACTTAATTTCGTCAACGACCCACTCTTGATTACCGCATTTTTTCACTCTCTTTCGCTTTCGCTGTTCATCTCTTAATTAATTTTAATGAAATCAGATGAGGAAATAGGAAGTTATAGTAGAAAAAAATATGAGCGCAATGTTGCTTTCGCTACCAACCAATTTACTTATATTTTAATGACCTCAAAACGAACAGAAAGTATCTTCGTCGATTACAGTTAGTCTCTCTATGGAATATTTTTACTTTAGACAGAAAAAAGTAGTATCTTATGCATCATAGACGAAAAAAAAGTATCCATTACGATGAAACAAGAAAAAAAAAATCTGAATATCAATACCATATCAATTTCAGTTGTGATTCAGCCGTACGAAGCCGAGGCTGATAATGAGTATGTGATTCGTGGCAATGCAGCCATTATGAAATGCGAGATTCCATCGTATGTGTCCGATTTTATTGTTGTTGATATGTGGACAGACTCCGATGGCGGCGCATATTATCCAAACAATGATCAATACGGTATTACAATTGATTGAATCAACTTCAAATTCGTACATCGTCTCGTTCAGTTGTTATCATTTTTGTAGTTTATGGATTCCATTTTCGGTTCAACTTTATATCCAACATCAAACAATAGTGATTCCTTTTGAAAAGAAAAACAAAGCAAAGAAAAACACACTTTGAATCCTGTTATTTCTCCCGGTCGTCGACATCACTACTCTATGATAAATTAATTGGCCGTTACAGAATTTAATAGCCAAAAACTCAGATCATCCTTTCATTTAATTTCATTAAAATTCACATGATATATATCCATGTACTTTTACTTTACTTCCATTGTGGCACCATCGGTTGAACTTCGTGCCCTCGTGACCAAAAACGAAACAACAAAACAATTCAGTTGTTCAACAATTTTATCAAACTCGTGTTATTGATGAGTTTGTGCTGCGCGGCAATGCTGCCATTCTCAAGTGCAATTTACCGTCGTTTGTAGCCGATTTTGTCTATGTTGAAGCGTGGATCGCCGATGATGGCACCGAAATCCTACCAAACACCGACGATTTTGGTACTTATTCCATTAACACTCTCTGTCTCCCTCTTTTATAGAGATCTTAATTGGAAAAGTGCACTTGTGAAAGCTGATTTCCATAAATCCACATCATCAATTTTGTCCAGAAAATTCCACCAAAAAAAAAACACACACACACACACTTTCATTTAGGGAATACGACGAGAACGCCAAGACAACTTGAACTTTGAATATGTCTAGATTTAATATTGAGAGAGATATTCTCCATTCAAAAAGACTTGCACCGGAATTTCTGCGCTCATTTTGAAAAGAGATTCTCGAAAATCCACTCATGCTCGTCGCACACACACACACTCACGAAAACTCTTAAATATCTATTCATCATGAAAATTGTGCTGATTTGTATTGCGCTGCCATTATTTATCTCTCTCTCTCTCTCTCTCTCTCTCTCTTCCCGATATGCACACAGTGGTTAGTCAATTTTATGAGTCTCAAGTGTATGATGAATATGTAATCAAGGGAAATGCTGCCGTATTGAAATGCAATATCCCATCGTTTGTGTCCGATCATGTGGAAATTATCGAATGGGTCGATACCAATGGCGGCCTATATACCAGAGACGATAGTAACAACGGTAAATTGTGAAATTACACAATAGTTTAAATGGTTATTATGGGCTAGCTGTTGAGATGACTAAACTGAAATTGTTGCACACCATGGCGGATTGTTCATTTCCTTTTTTTTTTCAAAGAGTCCCGTTTTAAAATCCGCGTATCGCTAAGAGCGCAGTGAATTGCTTAAATATATTTTTAAAAAGAGAGAGATACTTGACGATGTAAATCAGTTTTTCCATGCAGCCAATATTGAAAAGCGTTCTGAAGATGAGTGCAAATTGAGGGAGATTCTGCGTTGCTACATGAAAACGGGTAACAAGTCAGCTGGTTGACGATTTCCTCCACACTTTTTTTCCCGAAAAAAATCTTTTTTATTCAATAGCAGTACTCATCCTTTAAAACGATCTAATTTTCACTCACATGTCTCTCTTTCTCTTCCTCTCTCTCTCTCTCTCTCTCTCTCTCTCTCTCTCTCTCTCTTTCTGTGTATGCTTTCCGGCTGCAGTGGTACCGCAAAGCTATTCGGTTAATGTCATGGATGAGCATGTGTTGCGAGGAAATGCTGCCATCATTAAATGTCATATTCCCAGTTTTGTCATCGATTTCGTCTTCGTTTCCGCATGGATTTTGGATGATAATGGCGATACGACGGAAATTTTTGCCGACGAAAATGGCATCGATATTAACACAATCGGTAGAGAATCAACAAATTTTTTTTCTCTCTCTCTCTCTTCACATTTCCGCTTAGAAATAAAGAATCCGAATCTTGTGTTTACGCACAAAGTAGATTTATGTAAAAATTGTATGTGTAAAACACTCCAAGTGTTTCGAATAATCTTATCTATTGGTCTGACCAGTTTTTCATCAGCTTATATCTGCCATTGAACTTTCAGTCATGAAAAATTTCTTTAGTAAATCTCAACAAAAGACACCATTGAAACTGTGCTCAAGTTATAGACGAAAAAAATCTTTAATCGAAAATCAAATAAACAAAATGGCAACTGAAAAAAAAATTCGCTTTACACTGTGTATGATGTGGCATTTATGCGCTCTCAGTATGATATGATCGATTAATAGTCATCAGCCAATTTCCAAAATCCACGACTGTTCCACACAATACGCCTTTGGTTGGCCCTTGGACAATGGGACAGTCACAATTTGTGACCACCAATTGTTGGCATTTTATGAACAGAAAGAATTTCTGTTGAAATCAAGACAAAAATGTCAATCCCATTTCAAAAACTCAATCCCATTCCCAATTTCCATGGATCGCTCCTGATCTACCCTCATTCCCCGAAGAAGAAAAATGGAAATCCGCCTTCAGTGTTTTCTAGTTTAGTATTTAACTGCATGCTACTTTTGTTTTATTACTAACACATTTTTCGTAGTTACAAGCACACATCTTCAGACTAGGGCTGCTTTGAGCCGGAACATAATTAGAGCGTTAGCCTGAAGCTAATTGTGAAAGAGATAGATAAAAAAATACACGATTCTCTTTTAATTAAAAGCTGCTTCTATCTGAAGATGTGTTATTTGGTGCTGCACTTTCAAAAGAGAAAATCCATTTGTATGGCATTGAGTGCATTCATTCTCAGTTGCAAATTGCAACTTGTCCACTTACCATTTTTTTTTCTCCATAAATTTGTTTGCCATACAAATCGATTTTTCTTTATTCCTTTCAATGATTTTGTTTTCATTTCGGTTGTTGTTATTCAAAGCGAAATTGTTCACAAGTTCATGTTAACATCGCTTTTTCTGTGAAGATATCGAATAAAGCGCAAATAAAGTATACTTTTTACATAACTTGTATGTTTTCCAAAACAACAATTATGCTTTGAATACGTTATTTAGTATCTAGGAAGATATAAGTCACACAAATACTCAAAGTTGCTAACGATTTTCTTGCAAAATTCGAATCAAATGATAAGATGGAGCGAAAAGTTCCTATCAAAGTGTTGCGATGAACAAAATTGAAGCCACAAGCTTTTGGTTTGTAGTTCCAAAACATTCAAAGAAACCGAAAAAATATTGGCCAATCTTCTATCTACCAGAAAAAATCATAAAACATTCGTTCTAGGAATCCAATTTTGCCATCGAGCTCATTGCTAGTGGTTTTGTTGACTTACATCTTCAACGTAGTTCATTCCGTAGATTTGAGTGTCGAAAAGAAAGTTCTCTGAATAGATTTTCTAACCGTATTTTTTCTCTCTCTCTTTCGTTTCACACGAAAAAAACCACACACAAAACAGACGGCAAGTACTTAGTGCTACCATCAGGTGAATTGCATATTCGTGAAGTTGGACCAGAGGATGGATACAAATCGTACCAATGTCGTACAAAGCATCGTTTGACTGGCGAAGCGCGTTTGAGTGCAACGAAAGGACGTCTCGTAATTACTGGTATGCTTTTATGTGCTATTCATAAACATTATAAATGCACCAATTTGATTGTTTTTGCTCTTAATTTGATTATTTGATCGCCGTGCAATAGATAAAGTCATTGAAATTAATTTAGAAAAATCGTTCTCAATAAAGACCGTTTCAATTGAAATTTAACGATTCTATCCCCCATTTCAAGTATCAAATAATCAAATTAAAGAATCTGAAATCATTGTACAAATTGTTTGAAAATGGTAAATGGATTCAAAGAGATTGAAAAAAATTGATTGTATTTAAAAAAAAAAGGAAAGAAAAGAGATTGCGTTGAGCATCAATCAAAATGAAGCCATTCGTTTCCATTTCAAGCAATTGTATATTGATTATCGATTTATAAAATTGTTTGTATGAATTGGCTGCAGAACAGTTAAATGATTGGATAACAAGAGTGAGCTGTGCCGGTCTGAAATTTGATCGAAAAAACAATCGATGAGGGCGATTCAAAATCTGCCTTTTAATTGAGCTCATCCAATTTTTGTATTATAATTGTGTTTTTATTGTAAATAGCGTTATCCAATTACTTTTCTGCAGCTGATTCTCGTTTCTTTTTTTTGTTTTATTAAATCAACACTTTAAATTCGGTTTATTGAAATGTTTATAATGGAAGCAACGTTATTTGTAGCATTTCGAATTCGAATCCAATTTTCGGAGAATTTAACCAAAAAAAATCCATAATTTGGCCCGTGCGTTCATTGGTAGTCTATAACTTCACCACATTGGAACAATTTCTGGAAATAGTTCGTTTTTAAATCGTAATTTTTAATTAAAATGGAAGTTTCCCATTTGGGCAAGCCACATATTCACTGAACCGTAAATAGCATTCCCGTTAGTGTTCCCATAAATATTTCAATAAACATCCATTTAAAGTGGTGAAGAAACTTTTCGCTTGACTTTTAATAAGATCAAGTGAAAAGCCAGTCGATTCCGAAAGCAACAATAATGCAATTGCGTTTTCTTTTTTTTCGGCCACTTTTCATCGAGTCATTCGATGAGAGAGAGAGAGAGAGACCGTATGACATGAGGGGATGTGCTCATGCAGTACAGCCTCAGCCTAATGAACAATCCACTTTTCAATCAATAGTTTATATTTTCCATTGCAATTAAAATTATGAACGTTTCAATCAAGTAAATCAATTGAAAGTTTTTTTTTCCTTTGTTTTGTTCGATTCGAAGAAACGATTTTACCGTAGCATAATTAAGTTTGCATTTAAACGCGATTTGAAACGCAAGTAACCGCCCGCTCACGCAACATACAATTTTATTTTTTTCTTTCGATTTCAAAATATAATAGATAAATGATTGAAGTGTCATTAGGGCAAGAAAATTGAAAAAAAAGGAAAACCGATTGCAGCATTGTTGTTGAATGCCTGAATGTTGGGATAGGGTACCCTGTGCGTTGCGTATTTGCAATTTCATTTCGGCACATACACACACACACACACACACATCAACTTGAACAACGAGAAAAAGTAGACGAAAAAGAAAATCGCTTTTCCATATTCCAAACCAAAATGAACTGATCCAAAGATTTTGGACTTTTGAAGTTCGAAAAAAAGTAGATTGCGAATTTTTTCCGGTTCAATTTGATGAAGTTGTTGCGAAGAACACCGAAATTGAGATGTGAAAAGACACAAAATTCCAAAAACTTTGCTGTATCGCGCACGTATCATATGATTCTCGAAATCAAATGTCCTGTCGGTCGATTGGAAGTGTGATTCTATGCGCTTCGAAGATTAAAACATGAAAATGAAACAAAACCCATTGGAGACATCTCGAATGTGTAGCCAAAGAGTGTCATTCCAAGATAGCTTTTGCTTGACATTATTGAGCACGCGTTGAATCTAGATATGCTACTCCTTCTTTTCGACTAATGTATAATTGGAAAATGTTCAACAATTGATTTTAATCGATTTGCCTTTTCCATCGATCCATTCATTCAATTCACACAACTCGGATTCGGAAAATATGAATTCTACATCGTTCAAATTGCATCCCATTTCAAGGGCAGATACGTTTTTTTCCCTATGTTGTTTGTTGTGGTTGAAAAGAAATAAATGAATAAGCATAACAGGTAAGTGAAGAATAGAACATTTTACCTTCAACTGCTGATAATGTGTTGGCACAATGTTCCATGCAGTTTGGTCCAATTCCATTTTGACAGCCAATGTAAATAGGCACGGTTTTTGCACAAACATGTAAATCGTTTGACGTGTTCTCTATTCAATCACATTAATAAAACAACAAATCAAAATCAATGTTTTGTGTATACACTCAGAGAAGCATCAATAAAAGAAAACCAAATAAACAAACCCTTTCAGAACCGATCGCCTCAGTTCAGCCGAAAATACTCTCCGGTTCGAATATCATGGTTGAAACGGGCCATTCGGGAGCAACAATGACCCTTAAGGTTTTTGGGCAATCTTCACCGCCTCCCGTTTTTCGGTAAGCGCCAAACGTTTTTCGCCTATCTCAATTTATTTCCAACCGTTTCATCCCAATCCAATATGCCCGCTTCCTTGAAATTGTCGAAAAATTCACCAAAAATTTCCAATTTCCGTGTATATTTTGCATCAATCTGTTGCATCGTCAATTGCTTTGGCATTATGTTTGTCGGACACAATACGTTGATATTGGGCGCCATCGTGGGCCATGATTTTGTGAACATACAACTCAGTAAGGGTGCCGTGTCTCAAACATTTACAGTTTATCAACTATTTTTAAAAAATACATTTCATCCAAATCAAAACCACACTCTATTTCAAACATTGAAGAGCCGGTGAACTCGTTGGCCCCGCGAGTCGAACACGCTGATAAATTTCGACATGTAACGGTGGGCTTGAAACACGTGACAAGCCTTCTTTGTCCGATCATGAGCTATCCATCACCTGCCTACAGGTAAACATTGCTCCGGCAAAAACAGCCTTTGAAGGCAAAAAAAGTGAAACGGTATCTCGAAAGTGTGCTTTCAGTTGCTGGCAGCAATATGCTGCATGTTTAGGGATTCAACGATTATTCATATGGTTTCAACTATTCGAAATATTACCATTCGAACGCAAAACTTATCCCAACATTCGGATGCATCACAGCATGAACTTTCGCATTTTGATTCAGTTCAAGAAACATTCGAGCATTTCGAATATCAATTCAAAGATTCAATCGTGTTCAAATTCAAATAAATTCCCATTTCTGTGTACTTTTTTCAATGAAATCAGAACCAATCACCTCTGTTGCCCCAAAAATGACATCCGGCGATGATTTGAAACGTCTCAAAGTTGCTGAACATGATCAAATCAGTTTGCTGTGTCCAGCACAATCGTTTCCCGTTGGCGCCTTTCGGTAAACAAAGCTGATGTCTTGTCGTCAATGACAACTCGTCATAATTTTCATCGAGTTTAGATTCGAACAAAAAAAAACTTGCTTTGAAGCCTCTCACACAGTAGCATAAAAAAATAAATGTTGAAAAAGTTGTTCAATGGTCAAAAGATGCAAACACTATCCCATGCCAGCATTCAGGCGAATTTATCTAGAGTTTTTGAACCGACCAAATTTTACAATAAGAAAATTATTTCCATGAAAATTGTCCATATAGAGCCATTGCAAGCCACTGCCCCGAAAATCACATCTGGCGAAGACTTCAATCGACTAAAAGTGGCTGAAAGAAATAGCATTGCATTTTTATGCCCCGCGCAATCTTCGCCAATTGCTGCATTCCGGTAAATAACGATTTTTTTTCCAACTCAGAACAGCTGTGAATTTTGTATGTTTTCTTATACATGCGTTCAAATGCATAAACCCTGTCTCAATATCGGCATAGTGGTTAACGTTACCAACCAAAAAAAAAGTGCTATCTAAAATGAAAAATTTTCCCCGGCTTCTCAGAACCGATTGCGAGCACCAAACCGAATGTGAATATTGGAGATAAAACAAATATTGCGAATGTTAGACTTCGCCATCAAATCAGTTTGCTTTGTCCGGCACAATCGTTTCCCCTTGGCGCATTTAGGTAAACAAAACTGATGTCTTGTCATAATTTTCATCGAGAATAGAGAAAATTTTTTCTTTAAAGCCGTTCACACTGTTGAAAATTAATGAGTGTTGTTCAATGGTAAAAAAAATGCAAACGCTATCCCATGCCAGCATTCAGGTAAACCGTGTGACTCATTGAAGCCCTTGAGTTGGTTTTCCATCCACTCAATCGATTTTAAGTGCAACGTCAATACCGAATATTTGATCCACAAAAAAAAAACACACACACACACTTTCACCTTTCAGAACCAATTCAAAGTGTACAGCCTCGCATTGAACGTACTGACAAATTTCGCGTTGCATTTGTTCAAATGAAAGATACAACAAATTTACTGTGCCCAGTTCAGAGTTATCCAATCGCATCCTACAGGTAACACATTTTAACTCATTTGGATTCATTTGAGACTTTGTGAATTCAAAATGTGATGGCGCAGACCAAATTTATGCCAACATTCAGTGCATCTAGCATCTCTGCATATATTGATTAAAACCAAAAGAAAGTTGCATGTGCAATATACACACACACACACGCACACCACATATGATGTGTATTTTCACTTCGTAGAGCCAATTGGCAATATTCGTCCGAAAATTAGCGTCGCTGATGAATTCAGCGTACGAGGTGTGCGGGTACAAATCAACCATACAGTTAGCATTGCATGCCCAGCAATGGCATATCCCGCTCCAATTTTTCGGTAAGACTTGCTCTTTTTTCTTCTTCAAAAACTATCATCGTTATTTTTTTTTAATACGCTTCTGCAAACGAAATTCGTCGAATTCAAACAAATTCTAATAGAAGAAATCAATTTATCCGGGAAACCAATTCAACGCGATTGTTTGGTAAAAATAACAATAGTTTTTTCCGAAAAGTTGCTTCTCAAACAATTGCAAGCAACCAAAGTTATTCCACTCCTTCGTACCTAGACTGAAAACAAAAAGATTTCCGTCGATTCGAACATACGTTTTTTTTTTTTTTTAAATAGAATTAGGTCCGGTGAAAAATTAGCTTTTGTTTACATTTTCATTGGTTTGCTGGTCATTCAAACCGATTGTGTCTATGCAGTGAAAATGCTAATGGTTCGAATGAAAATATCACATTCAATTTGAAAATACGAAAAACAAATGAATTGCTCACTGAATGAAAAAAAAAGAAGCACACAGCAGAGACATAGAGTAAATATTTGTGTTGGAACTTTTGATGTGTCCGATCTAGTACGTATCTATGCCAGCATTCAGGATGTGTGAATGATCAAAGTTCATTTGCATCTACTCTAAGAGTTCAATGAACCGAACACATTTGAACACATTTTTGGACTGATATCCTCGAATTATCCATTTTAGAACCCATTCAATTTCAAAGTCCTCGCCTTGAACTTGGCGAAAAACTAAAGTTAGCATCCGTTGGTTTGAGGAACGCAATTAGTTTATTGTGTCCCGTTCAAAGTTATCCAATCGCATCCCACAGGTAAACTATCCAAGCAAAAACCGTTCTGACAATTCAAAACCGAAGGAAAAAAGATTTCAAATCGAACGCACAGGGTTTCCTTGGCTCAACTGGGCAATTAAGAGATAATAGAAATTTTGAATCACTTTGATTCGAATTGAAACAATGGAATTTTTTCAACAGAACCAATTCAAAGTGTCCCACCACGTCTTGAAACTATCGAAAAACTTCGATTAGTAACTGAGCATCTAAGAGAAGCAATCAGTTTACTTTGCCCCGTTCAAAGTTATCCTACACCTTCATACAGGTTCGTAACAGAAGAATTTCAAAATGAAAACACTCAATTCTGTGCTAATGAGGCGCATTATGACATGAATTAAGATTAATTGGGCAAAATAGAAGGGTGACTCTTGCACGGAAATTCGAATACGAACGCACAGTGTGTCCAAATCTACTCTGGCATCGATTTTATTTCGACGATTGTTTGTACATTTTAACCATTTTCAAAATTCGTTCAATTTGAAACAGAACCGTTGGGCTGGGTCGCACCAAAAGTGAATTTAGCCGATGAATTTAAAATAGCTCGCGTTCGAATTGGAGAAAGCCTTAATTTACTTTGCCCAGTCCAGTCATACCCTGTGAGCCTTTTCCGGTAAGAAAAGTGGATACGTTCTTTTTTTCTTCAAATCGATTATAAAATTTTGTTCTGAAAAAACAACAAAAACGACACAAATCGATTGTGTCTTGAAGCAAACGAGGCAAATGAAACTAACAAAACGTCCAATCTATCGCTTCAAACCATACACACCGTACGTGGAGTGTGTGCGTATGAGCACAGCTGTAACGAAACGTAGCGTACGGTTTTACACTCGAGCGTTGCTTATAATTTGCAAGCGCAACGTATGCGCAGAGAAGACAAGAGAGACGCAGTGCGAATGGTTCGGTATCGCTTCTCGGCCTAAAGGCTAAGATCAAAGTGTAGTATCTGTTCTTATCAGCTTAACATCTGATAGTTCCACCATTGGTGGACAACAAATGTTAAACTGATTTTTGGAAATAGATAGAGTGCAGAAGCTTGCTTCGGCTCCGTCACGGGTTGGCCTCGTATTGCAGTACAGCGAGGAATCGGCCCAACAATCTCTCTCGCAAACAAGAAGAAAAAAAAAACATCAACAATGTCTTATTCAATGGCGATCGAAATGTGTATCGTTCATCGAACATATTTTGCGGCAATATTGAGTACGGGTTGTTATCAATTAACAGTGAATGCACAGACTATCTTTATTCCATATTCGGGCATCGTATGAATCCGGAATTCGATGTTTCTAGTTTGACTAGATCAATTGATGTTTTGATTTTTTTTTAAAAATGAACATTGAATAATAATTGCTTCAAACAGAGCCGTTGGGATGGGTCGCACCAAAAGTCAGTCAAGCTGACGAATTGAGTAAAGCTCGTGTTCAAATGGGAGAAAGCCTTAATCTACTTTGCCCAGTCCAGTCATACCCTGTAAGCCTTTTCCGGTAAGAAAAACACCTCGAAATGAGTGTTAACTTGTGAAAAATTCAAGTTTTTGGAATGAACCATGCACACATTTAGAAATTTTCGCATATGTTTTCAAACATTTCAATCGACTCATTATTATATCGCATCAATCGAAATAATCAGCGATAGCACAGTGGGCCTTAAAACCAATATTCAAGCATCGATTGGACTTTGGATGATTTTTTAGTTTTTTTTTTTTTTAAATACCAAGCATTCTCAGAAGGAGAAAATGAATCAATTTTTGAATTGTAAAAAAGAAAATTTACAATGAGATGATTTTATTTTTAAATAGAACCCATTAATAGTCTGCCACCAAAAGTCAGTCAAGCCGATAAATTGAATATACCTCGAGTGCGTGAAGGCGATAGCTTAAATTTGCTATGCCCAGTCCAATCGTATCCTGTAAGTCTCTTCCGGTAAGCATGTTTCTTTTGAAGAACAAAATCGATACAACTTCATTCAATTACTCCGGTATGCATACCTTTACAAAATGAATGCTGGAAACACTTACATTTACAACCAAAAAAGGACTCCTTCAGTACAAAGAACAAATTCATTTGATTTGATTTGTGAGAAATCATTATCAGGAAAGGAATTTAGTAGCAGAGTCTCAACAAATTCGAGAGAAAAACGGTGTCTTTTAAATAAAACGTCCGAAATTTGAATACTTTCATTGCAAACGACATGCACACGCACAGTTTCTACCCATATCCTGGCTTAAAACAACAACAAAACACTTCATAATGTGAAAGAGTCAAAATTGTTCTAAAAAAATGTATAAATAACATATTTTCATCTGCCAATGAACAGAGCCAGTCACGAAGATTAGACCAAAGTTTAATGAAGGTGATGAACTCAATATGGTTCGTGCACGACTGCAGCGCAATGTCCGGTTGCTTTGTCCAGCACAGTCAAGTCCGGCACCTTTGTTTAGGTAAATTTGTTGTGAACTTAAAATGAAGGTTGATTGAAGAAAAAAAACGAATTAAATCAAGCAAAGTCTGTTATTGCCCATCAACGAGTACTGAGGCTCTAGCCCAACATTCATGCATCAAATGTTGAAATCATAAATCATTCAAAATGGTTTTAAGAAATTTGTAGACAAAATCCGTTTTTTACCGAGAAAAAAACAAGCATAAAATTGATATTTATTTCAGAACCGATCGCATTTGTCGTTCCGAAAATCACAACCGGCGACAAAAGTCGAACCATTGATATTCCATCCAATGAAAGTATCACATTACTCTGTCCAGTGCAAAGTTTGCCTTTGCCTAGTTTTCGGTAAGAACAAATTTCATGAGAATGAATGGAAAGAAAGACAATTCTTTCTTTGATGTCAAACAAATGAGGATTCTAACCATGACTCCGCTAAGAAATACAAAAACAATAAAGAGCTAAAAAATGTGTGAAATTTCGAGCAAATTGGCATACAAATCATACAGCAAAGGGTTGAAATCTATCTCAGCAACGTACCTTTCATCGAATCGAGAAAAAATATGCAAAATTTATAGTATTAGGTCGTCACTGCCATCATTTTATTCTCCACTGATTGGAACCGATCTCGATAAAACCGCCTGCATTGCAATCCAATGATTTGAAGCGTACCTGGATTGAACGTGAATCCGAACATATATTGACATTGTTTGCATGAGTTCAAGCATACCCTATGCCATCGTTCAGCTTCGTAAATCTTATGGTTTTGATACGCTTTAGTCAATTACGACTAGAGTATCAAGCGAATTGAAACCGAATTAGAAATAACGGCTGTAACCGCACGCAAAACTTTGTGAAATTAATTAAAAATTCATGTCAAAATCATAAATAAATTATTCCAGAGCCAATATCATCAAAAGCGCCGACACTACAAGCCGACAATAAATTCATTCGAATCGAACGTCGCGTCAATCAACCGATGGCATTATTTTGTAATAGCCAAGCATTTCCAGTCGCAGTCTTTAGGTTTGTTATTTTTCAGCTCAGAACGGTTGAAATTTGATTGGGCGACACAGAATTTATTAAATCTAACGGTAGTGCTGATTTTTCCACCGTTGTTGAGTGGTTTTGTCGCCGCCGCTACCACAACTGTTTCTAAAAACCACATCAGGATAGGATGCGATAATGCGATTTGCCACAATGTTGATAATTATCATTATTTCCACGCGGTTCCATTGAATCAACTCAAGCAATGTATTGTTTTCTCTAAATTTACTTTCTTTTCATCCATGTGAAATGAGTAAATGTGTGTATGATTGCAATGTGTATTTTACGTGAAATGTGTGGTTGAAATGCATCGTCAATGCACTTTAAATTCTTGAGGTGAGAATAAGCTATTTGTTTAGTTTGAACCGAAAAAAAAACCAACGACGATGAAGAATTCCCACTGATTTAGTCATTTGGTGGAAAGAACATGGCAAGATAATGAAGCCATCATAGTTTAGAGTAAATCGTGCGTTACGTGTGTTAAATTGCGGGTAAAACGAAAACAAACACTCTGCATAGAACTAAAGAGTCAGACAGTGTGGGTAAGCCATTGATACTATTCGAATGAGTTTTAAGACTTTGTCGTGTTTTTTTTTATTGCATTCACAATCTATGCGGGTGCTCATCAAATGCACACACATACCAGTTGTGTGTCTTGTTTCTGTCTCAGTTTCCCACAAGCGATGAAAGAAGTTCAGAATCATGAGAGCGCATTAAATCGATGCGAATCGTTTGATTGCCATATTTTCCATCGTCTAGTAAGTTTAAGTGCCGATTATCAGCGAAGTAAACAGTAGCATTTTACTCTTGGTCGCAGAATACGTGCGCCCACAAACAGAAAAGAAAGAAGCAAAAAAAAACACGACGAAGAAGAGCCTCTTATAAATAAAGCATGTTGATCATAGTTTTGTTTATTTAGTGGCACTTCTTTGTACGATAGCTGTTTCGCTTACTTTATATCGTTGTGTCATACACATACATGCTCACACGCTCACACATGATATCATCTGGCGTTTTTCGCGTTGTACACAAAACGTTCTCCACAGCAACCAAACAAAATACGAGCAAAAAAGAACGAAAATACATACGAAATGGGTTTTACCCCTACATAGACACAATGATGTACTCATACACACACACACACACGCACACAACGACATACATGCGTTCACTCGCTCTCTTCAGCTCACCAGCGTGATGTGAGTAGAACATTTCCCCTTTGCGTTCTCCATTTGTTTACGCGTGACTGTACTACGAGAATGCATGTGGCCGATGTGCACCATGTGCTTTTCACGTTTCGCTTTTGATGCGGCAGTGCCGCATCGATGAATGCATCAACTCAACCGTGTCTCCTGTACATTCATTCGCTTAGTGAGGAGAACAATGGCTATAGTAAGAGCCTTTAAACAGTTGAATCGTTTCCGTTTGCGATTCAAAGTGCGCGAATGTGTATGTGTGTCTATGGATTGAAGTCGAATCCAACTCTCAGCGTACGGCAGTGTACTCACGCTCTTCTCTATCGCTCGCACCAATACATCCGGATAAAAACAGCTGGTCCGGCTGGCGATGTGATGGTGTGTAGGTTTGGCGTGCGTGTGGAAAACCCCAAACAATTCTGACATGGAAAATTGAAAGAGAGAGTGATTATCATATATGCTGATATGCTTGCGCTGCCCACACATACACATACACCGCGCACTATTTTGTATATTACTCGAATTCTATTTTCACGATCACCACCCGGCAAAAATAAACGTGACATTTCACACTGCCACTCTACAAATATACTACATGTTTTGGTTTTTGTCGCACGTTGCGTGTGTGTGCATTGCACACAGAACGAGTGCATATTTGTGTAATGCAATGAAATCGAATGCGCTCTCTCAAGCACATTCGTACACGTCTCACAATTCCCGATTTTGCCGGCTGATGGCAACACAGACAAGCCGCGTGAATCGATTTGTCTACCGAGAATTATTATGTTATCTGTAGCACTCTCCCGGTTAGGGTTTCTTTTTGTTTCTTCTTCGTTTGTGTGTTTAAATGTTCTTCGACATGGTATTTATTGTAACCTTTGCGAATTATACGTCTTCGGCATGGATGGTGCTAATACACATCGAATGGAATTGCAAAACCGACGCGACAAAGTCAAGTTCATTGAGCTACAAAAATCCCAACATATGTAATGTGCATTCGGTGATGCGTTTTATACAGCTTAAACACTTAGCGTTATTACTTCTTGTTTTTTTTCTCTATCCTCCCACTTATCCGTGTGCTTGTTCATGCGTGAAATATGCAATCCTTTCCATCATTTGGATTTTAATGTAAATAGAACCGGTTCAAAGTCGCGCTCCATCCTTCTCGTCCGATTCAAAGGGCAGCATTTTTACACGAAGCCAGCATTCCACATTTGCATTACTCTGCCAGGCGCAAGCGTTTCCTGTCCCACTTATAAGGTGACTAGACGGTTGACTCATATTGAGTGAGAGTATATGATTATGACACCGACTTAAATTGCTAATATTTATAACATTTCCGCGTATTAAATAACCCGAACACAATACAAAGTCTTGACCCAAGTCATTTCACTGTCAATTAGCTTCAATTACTATCCCAGCAGGCATTCATATTGGTGGATTTTCTCGGTTTTCGAAAGGTTGTTGATCACGGGTGCGCGCCAATAGTCGTCGAACCCCCTCTTGCCGTTTTGATCAGTCAATTGCAATCAATGTTATGGCAGTTTCATTTCGTCAAATAGCTGTCCAGGTCGTACATAAGGCGGCCGTTGAGTAATGTTGGTGGTTTACTTTGCGGCTTGCCTTTTGATGCTGACTTGGCAAAGGCCGCGTCAGTGTAATTGCGCTTCGACATTTCACCTTTTGCATTCTGAATCAACGAGAATTCATTCGATTCGGCCAGATCGATAGTACATGTTTCAAATACGCCGTCTCCAACTTCCAATTGATATTGCTTTTGCCGCAGTCCATGATTTTTCGCCAATTCTTCGGCCAATCTCCCGAAAACTGTGTCTATGAGGCTTGAACACAGTTCATTTGGCCAGATAGTTTGAAAAGTTGTACATTAGTTGCCCATTCAACAGTTTCGGTGCACTTGTTTTCCCGCCTTTCGGTACATTTGGTCCTTTGGTTTCATTTCGTCTTTCCGTCAGTTTCACATCGGTGAAGGTTTGTGTGATGGTGGATCCATCCAGGTGTACAGTTCCGAACTCCTCTGATTGCGTTAAGTCAACAGTCCAATTTTCGAAAACATCGTCGTCCACTTCCATCTGGTACTCTGTTCCATAGGGGTATTGCAACGACCATAAAATATATGCATTTCATCAAGTTTATCAAGCTCTTTCCAAGTTTATGCATAGTGTCGAACTTTTGTTCAAGCTCTACCATCTAAATGTACAGTAAAATAATTTACGGGCACGACGTAAGATGGCGTTTTTTCTGGTCAAAAAAGTTGCAATATCCCTTTGCTCTGTTCGTTTCAAATCGCGATTTTTGTGAGTGCCGGAACAGACACCAAGTTTAGATAAACTGTAGAATCTGATGACTAGCTGGTCTTTCGGGATGCCACTCAGTTTGCCGATGAATAAATTAAAACATGTGCGCGAAATGTGAGTAATTATTCGATGAATTTAATCTTGTTGGTCGCGTTGTCGACGAAAGCCACAGCTGTTGGTGTTAGTGCGTTCATTTGATCGATGACATACAGGCTCATTGGTGCTGTGTTGACGTGTGAGATGTTCGACGTGGTTATTGAAGCTAAGATTGTGGATCACTTTGTTGTTTTGCAACGATTTTATGAGCATCGATTCCAAGTCGGCGGTATCATCATGCGTTAATCCGAACGCACGAACATTGTAAAATGAGATGACCAGCTCGGTACGAGGTAATTGGGCCAGTTTTGTGGCGAATGACGGACCGGCTTCGCTTACCAGATGTTCGTATGTTCGTCGTCCATAGTTTGTGGTGATGCCTACGTACCGGATGCTTGCAAGTCGATTCAACAATTGTGCACGGCGTTTGGCGTCCTTGGTCTTGAAAATCATTCGCTTCAACCGTTCACACTCATTGTACTGTTGCTTGGTGGTTATTGCATACAGGAACATTGTGGTGGTCGGTGCAATATTGGTTGATTTTTCATTTTTCAAAAGGTTTTTAATGATCGGTGCACGCCAACAGTCGTCGAACGCTTTCTTGCCGATTTGATCCGTTAATTGCAGTACGTCACCAATGTCATGGCAGTTGCATTTCGTCAAGTAGCTGTCCAGGTCGTACATGAGTCGGCCGTTGAGTAATGTTGGTGGTTTACTTTCATGCTTGCCCTTCGATGCTGACTTGGCGAAAGTCACGTCGGTGTAATTCCGCTTCAACTTTTCACCTTTTGCATTGTGAATGATCGAGAATTCATCCGATTCGGCCAGACTGATCACCAATGTCTCAAATTCGCCGTATTAAACATCAAATTGATACTCCTTTCGCCGCAGCCCATGATTGTTTGTCAATTCTTCGGCCAATTCTTCGAAAACTTTGTCCAAGAGGCTTGAACACAGTCCACTTGGCCAAAAGACCCGTAGCAGAATTGTGGCCAAGGCCAATTCAATAATCTTGACGACGATATACCTTGCCATCGTTCTGATGTGTCCGATCTGATTTCTGATAACCGACTGAATAATTCCGATAGAATATGTCATGATTCCGATCGAAAATTGATGAGATTCAGCCTAAAAGTGTCTTTTTAAATTTGAAATTTGTTTATATCATCGCTCGGATTGATGACACAATTTTATATTTCATCAGGAAACTCAAAAGTCATAACAGATAACACATAACACATTCGTCAGCGATGGAACAAAGGCAACATTCGAATAAGAAACCGAAAAAACTATGCGGTCATTGAATTTGGAATCGAGTCATTTTCACGGGAAGCTGAAGCTGGCATTTTCATACGAAACTAAGATTCTTCGCATTTCCGCGTGTTGAATAACCAAACAATAGTAATCTTCGAATTAGCTTATTCATACCAATTTTTAACTCGTGTTCGTTTTTTTTCATGTCAAAAACAGAAAGTATTTATGAAAATGGTATGGAATGCATCTTTTCTCTTTTCACAAAATGCACACATGGCAGAATAAGAACAGAATGATTTCACATTAACGCGTCGTCCATTTAACATTGAGAATTGAATGTTCAGCAAATGAAAACGATTCAATACAGACCATTGTAGACCGATGTGATAACCACTACATCACTGAAACCTAGGGATAAAGTCCGCTTCAGAGGCGTGACATGGCTCTTTTGCGTTCAATCCTATGAAACAACATTTTTTACACTCAATGTTATGAAACGAATTTTTCAAAGTGTTCAAACAGTTTTTGCCCGACAATTGTTTATCACTTAAGTTGATGTAAGGCTAATGAATGATAATTTGTATAGAATTCTTCAGAAAAAACATGAAAAACATCATTCAAGTCAAAGGATAAGTTATATGCAAAGGCAAATTATAAATTTGTCAAACCATTCACATTAAACCAGCAATTTTCCAGAAATCGCAAGCTTATCCTGTTCCACTTATACGGTACGTTATTCTAGCCACATTCACTTTGGTACACATTCCGATGGAAAAAGCTACGAATCTGAACCATTTATAAAATTAAAACTCTTGTGCAGCGATGTGAAGTTTTCGGAAAATCAGGATCCCAATACGAATGAATTTGTTAATTTCAACGAAATCGTTCATGTCTGACTAATGACCTATCGAAAAAAAGAACCGAAATTATGTTGATTCATTACATAGATCCCATCGGTTCGAAGCCACCGTCATTTGCTAATAATGCCCAAAGTATCACATTCAAGCATGCCATTGCAACAACATTTAGTATATTAGCTGAGGCACAAGCAAGTCCACCTCCGGTGTATAGGTATTTAACTCTCTTCAACGCGCCAAATAAATGAAACAAAAACAACGACATTTTCCTATTGAAACTTCGACTACGAAACAAAGTCACTTCAGAACAGAGTCCCTTCGAGATAGTGCGGATTTGGGAAAATAAAGAGGAGAAACATTTTTTTTTCAATTTTTAAAAAATCTTGTGAAGTACATACCATTTCAAGTGAATTTTTTTTTCCAAATCACACTAAAACCTCATAATTGCTCATTTATACTCGTACAAATATTTCGTTTCAGTTTCTTTCGTAACAAAATTTTCATTTGATGTTCCATATATTTCAATTTTAAACTCTTTCTTTTTGAATTATCAAAATTAACACAAAAATGTTTCATTAATCAAAATTTTCTTTAAAAAACGTATTTTACGATACCATGGAACCGTTAATTTTATTATTTCATTGACTTGAAATGCGTGCCATCACAAGAATATCGATCCGATACTAATGAAATATTTCTCTTCTAACAAAAAAATAACTCAAACTTTAGATGGTACAAATTTATCGAGGGTACAACACGTAAACAGGCTGTGGTTTTGAATGATCGAGTCAAACAGGTGTCGGGCACATTGATCATTAAGGATGCAGTAATCGACGATTCGGGAAAATATTTGTGCGTTGTGAACAATTCGGTCGGTGGAGAAAGTGTTGAAACTGTATTGACTGTAACGGCTCCATTGTCTGCGAAAATCGATCCACCAACACAAACCGTCGATTTCGGTCGGCCGGCTGTGTTTACATGCCACTACTCAGGTAATCCAATCAAAACGGTGTCATGGATGAAGGACGGCAAACCAATGCCCGGACACAGCGATGCTATTCTTCGCATTGAATCGGTGAAAAAGGAAGACAACGGCATGTATCAATGTTTTGTTCGCAACGACCAGGAAAGTGCACAGGCCAGCGCTGAACTCAAATTGGGAGGAAGATGTAAGTATTATTGAAACTCAATGAATTACATTTTTTTGGATGAATACCTGGCAATGGGTTTTTTCATCATACTTGAATTGATTTACTAATCATTCTTCTCTTCTTTACTCACAGTCGATCCACCAGTCATTCGACATGCATTTACCGAGGAAACTCTTCGCCCTGGACCACCAGTATTTTTGTGAGTGCAATAAAATCCTATCAAGTAAAAGAGTTGTTTCAGTTAAGCACATTGACCCAATATTCATTCAAATTTTCAGAAAATGTATTGGCGGTGGCAATCCAACACCGGAAATCTCATGGGAATTGGACGGAAAGAAAATTTCAAACAATGAACGCTACCAAGTCGGCCAATATGTAACTGTGAACGGCGATGTGGTTTCATACTTGAACATCACCTCGATCCATGCTAACGATGGTGGTTTGTACAAATGTTTTGCGAGCAGCAAAGTCGGCACAGCTGAACATTCGGCCAAAATCAATGTCTACGGTTTACCATATATTCGTCCAATGGAAAAGAAGGCTATCGTCGCCGGTGAAACGCTTGTTGTTACATGCCCAGTTGCTGGCTATCCAATTAAGTCCATCGTTTGGGAACGCGGTAAATTAAGAGTTTCAATTTTAAACACATGAGTGTTTTTTGGATTTAAAATGTTTAATGTCATGTTCCAAAAGAAGCTCAATTTGTGTTCATCCTTAGAAATAATTTAATTAAGCTGATATTTCATGAAACGCATCACACATTATGCAAACTGAAAATTAAACTTCAACCCATTCTGCAATTTTCAACAGATAACCGTGCATTGCCAATCAACCGAAAGCAAAAAGTCTTCCCGAATGGAACTCTCATCATTGAAAATGTCGAACGAAACTCCGATCAAGCAACCTACACGTGTGTGGCCAAAAATGCGGAAGGATACAGTGCTCGTGGTGCATTAGAAGTTCAAGTAATGGGTAAGTTCGTCGAAATCCATATTCATGAAAAGTTTATTCCATTCGCTGAATCACTGGAAAGAGGTTTGTAACCACCATAACTTCAGACAGTTAAACAGGAAATTTGTTCGAACAAATTTATCCATGGCAACGTTTTCACATTTTCGATTGAATTCAAGTTCGTGTGCTAAATTCAAAATAAATATTTTACAAGAAAAAAGAAACTTTCTATTTACGCGTCAAGAAAGTCAGATAACAACCTCTTTTCAGTGTGTGCGAATGAAAAAAAAAATGCCAAAAAATGTTTTAATCCTTCGTCAAAACGTCTTGAAAAATTGAGGGAAGACGATGTCATCGCAAGGTATTTGAGTTGTCTTCGATTAGGGTTCAAAGTTTTCTCATAGGAGATTCGTGGTTGGAAAGTTTTATTTGTTGAGGTCTACCACCGCATTGGTAGAAAATGTTCAAGTTCTTCTTCGTTGGGAATATTTTTATTCAAATCAATTTGTCGAATCATCAATTTCAAGCTGAGATTAGTAAGTTTACATTTTACTCCGAAAACGAAACGTATAGTATTGCCACAAATCGTTCCGTTCGACTTTGGTCAAGAAGAGATCAATGCCATGGATATGGTATCGGCTTCGTGTACCGTTAACAAAGGTGATTTACCGTTGAAAATCACATGGATGCGCAACAATCAATTGATTTACTCAAATGACGGTGTATCGATTAGTCGAACCAATCAACGCATCAGCATTCTAAGTATCGAATCAGTTCGGGATCGTCACAGCGGGAACTATACATGTATTTCGGAGAATTCCGGTGGATCATCAAACTATACAACATCGCTCTGGGTTAATGGTACTACTCATATTCCGAAACGAACGAAAAACATCGAACATTTGTGGAATTTTAGCCGAGATTTCTCATTTGAGTTACTTTTTTTCCCTCCCTTGATTCATTTTTTATCATTTTGTGTTTTCATCCTCGCTACCTACATTTTTTTCAACCATATTCATTGGTTGTGTGCTGCTGTTGCTACAAATACAAATTGAAAAATAAAAATTCGCACCTTTTCCCGGTTCTCTTTTCATTTTTCAAAGTAATTCCACAATTGTTACCATTCACATTCGGCGACGATCCATTGAATACGGATGATGTGGCCGCTGTACAGTGTATGGCATTGAAGGGTGATTTACCGATGAAAATCACATGGTACTTCAATGAGTCACCAATTACAACGATTGAGACGGGTGTTCATGTGGTGATGACATCGCCACGCATTAGTCAGCTGACGATTGAAGCTGTGACCGCATATCATCGAGGTCATTATCGATGTGTAGCTGAAAATAAAGCCGGTCGTATCGAACACTCTGCTGAACTACGCGTAAATGGTATATAGCACACACACACACACTCATACACAGAGAGATAGATACCAAATTATACTAATTATATTTGTAAATGCTGCAGCAAAAGCGTGCTTTTAGTTGAAATGTATCATTTTGTTTTTTCATCCTGATTATTCCAC